GTAGAGCTAGGTTGTTCTTATGTTGCTCAGGCTAGTATTGAACTCCTGGCTTCAAGTGATCCTACCTGGGCCCCGCCAAGTACTAGGATTATAGGCGTGAGCCACTGGCAGGCCTAGGTTTTTTAATTCCTGCCTTTGTGAAAGAATTATTGACATATGACAAATAATCATCTAGGTTTCACTCATAAGCCCACTTCACTGCTTCATTAATAAAATTCAGTATTAATTTTGTTTGATTATGTGAAATCTCTGTTCTCATCACTTCTTCAGTTTTGAATCAGGAAATTGAGGCATTCAGTCTTTCTGAAGATACTTCATCAGGGCTCTCTGAGGACCGGGTTGTCAGTGTGAGTTTCCGAGTTCTCTATCCGATCGTCATTACCAGTCTTGGAGTTTTCTACGATGCCAGTGATGTTGGTTTCCAGAGGAACATCACTGTCAAGCTTTATCAGGCAGAACAGGAGGTATGCGCTGCACTGTACGGGGTTTCCTTCATTTTTCTTTTCAAAAGCATTAAATTTTCTTTATGTCATATGTATAGTAGATTGGGAGACTATAATTCTCTCTGGTTGGGTGACTGAAACCTTTCTTCCTTTATTGATTGAATACATTGTAGTGTAATATACTATGAGGCTGGTTTGGAAAGAGATTACTTATGAGTTTATGTACAGGGTACCCATAAGGTTTGTGTGCACACTATTTAAAATCGTACATGTATGTTATGGCCACCCTGTATTATATCTTAAAAAGAAGGAGTTGACTAAATTAGAAATTCTCAGTCTGGCAGGGGTATCTAATGTGGCCCATGGCTGGCTATGAATGCTTATCTAAAAGTTGTCTTGGGCTACATATTAAATACACAAGCACTGGCTTGGCCCCTGTAGCTCAAGCGGCTAAGGCGCCAGCCACATACCCCAGAGCTGGCGGGTTCAAATCCACCCTGGGCCTGCCAAACAACGATGACAACTACAACCAAAAAATGGCCAGGCATTGTGGAGGGTGCCTGTAGTCCCAGCTGCTTGGGAGGCTGAGGCAAGAGATTCGCTTAAGCCTAGGAGTTGGAGGTTGCTGTGAGCTGTGATGCCATAGCACTCTACCCAGGGCAACAGCTTGAGGCTCTGTCTCAAATAAATAAATACACAAGCACTAATGAAAGTTGATGAGCAAAAATATTTGTACATGACTTTCATGATATCCATGACCATGGATAAACATTCTTAGCCAATTGTAGGCCACGGTTGAAGCCTAAGGAATTTCAAAAGTTGGTAATGAACGGGCTGGGCAAGGGCACACCAGCCCCATATACCGAGGGTGGCAGGTTCAAACACAGCCTGGGCCAAACTGCAACAAAAAAATAGCCAGGCGTTGTAGCAGGTGCCTGTAGTCCCAGCTACTCGGGAGGCTGAGGCAAGAGAAATACCTAAGCCCAAGAGCTGGAGGTTGCTGTGAGCTGTGACATCATTTCACTCTACCAAGGGCAACAGAATGAGGCTCTGTCTGTAAAACAAACAGAAAAAAAGGGGCTGGGTGAGGTGCTTCACGCCTGTAATCCCAGCACTCTGGGAGGCGGAGGTGGGTGGATTGCCTGAGTTCACAAGTTTAAGACTAGCCTGAGCCAGAGCAAGACCTCGTCTCTAAAAATAGCCAGTCATCGTGGTGGTGCCTGTAGTCCCAAGCTACTCAGGAAGCTGAGGCAAGAGAATCACTTGAGCCCAAGAGTTTGAGGTTGCTGTGAGCTATGATGTCCCTAGCACTTCACTGAGGGCGATAAAGTGAGACTGTGTCGCAAAAAGAAAAAATGTTGGTAATGAATATAAAAAGTTTAGGACTCTTAGAATGAAGGAGTATTATTGTTTCTTCCAGCCATAAAAGTCTATAATTAATTGCTTCAGATCTTTCTTTTTTTTTTTGTAATAAGGAAATAGAAGGAATATACGTTTAAAACCATTGAGATTACTATGTTCCTATTCTTTGGAGTAATCTGATTTGTTCAGAGAGTATATTTGAAGGAATTGTGTTTGAAAAGATCTCTTTCTGAGTTTTGAACATACATAAAACTTGAATTATATGGTGAATACTCAATATAGCCCCAAAGTTGATTCTACAGTAGTTATCTGTGTTTGCTTAATTGCATATATATCTGTTCATCAATCTGTCTTTTTAAAATGTAATTCATGGTAGGTTGCAGGCTTCAGCACACTTCAACCCTAAACACTTCAGCATATATGTCATTAACTAGACTTTGATATTTGTTTATAGTTTTTTTAATTTACATACACTGAAATGTACAATTTTTTATACTGCATCAACCCATATAACCCAAACTGCTATCAAGATATGAAGTGTATCCGTCACCCTAGAAAGTTCCCTCATGTTTCTTCCTAATCAGTTCCTTCCCCATTCTCCAGAGACGACAACTCTTCTGATTTTTTGTTTTATCGTAGACTAGTTTTGCCTGTTCTGGGACTTCATATATAAATGAAATTATATAGTAAGTACTCTGTTGTAGGGCTTCCTTCACTCAGTATGTTTTTGAGACACATTGATCATATTCTGTGATTAATGAAATTTTCTGTTCATTCCTTTAATTGCTAAGTAGCATTCCAGCAATATTTAATGTTTACCCATCTGTTGGTGTGCATCTGGAGTGTTTCCAGAGTTTTTCTTCTTTATTTGGCTAAGGTGATGAGCTACATTTATTGACTTCAGAATTTAATGCAACCTCTTGTTCCTGGGATAAACCCTTCTAAGTCAGGAAATGTTATTGTTTTTAAAATATTGCTAGAAATTGTTTCTTGTGGACAGCATATAATCGGGTCTTTTCTTTAGTTCAGTCTGAGAATCTCTACTTCTTATAGGAAATGTTTGTTCATTTACATTTAATGAGTGTCATAGTAGTTAGATTTCATTTTGGCATTTATTATCTGCTTGTTCTTTTTTTGTTATTCTGCTGTCCCTCCTTTCCTGCCTTAATTCAGGTTAATAAAATAATTTTTTTTAATTCCATTTTAATTTTTCTGTTATCGTCTTAGCTCTTTGTACTATTATTTTTTGTGTATATGGTTAACGTAAGGATTACAATAAATATCCTGAAGTTTTCTGTTTTCTTAAAGTTCCTTTTGTGCCCCTTCATGTAAAATATAAGAATCTTGGGTGGCACCTGTGGCTCAAAGGAGCAGGGTGCCAGCCCCATATGCTGGAGGTGGCAGGTTCAAACCCAGCCCCAGCCAAAAACTGCAAAAAAAAAAAAAAAAATATATATATATATATATATAAAATCTTGCAATTATATAGTTCCATTTACCAGCCCTCAACTTTTTTACTGTGGTTAACCATATACATCACCATTATGTCTATGTATGCTATAAATCCCACAATTCCGTGTTACAATTTTTGCTTTAAATAGCTGATTGTACATATATGTATATTAAAGGAATTTAGAAAAAGTAGCCTTTTATATTTACTTACATATTTACCATTTCTGATGCTCTTCATTCCTTCTTAAATATCCAGGTTTCCATCTGATAGTCTTTGCCTTCAACCCGAATAACCTCTAGCATTTTATAGTGCAAGTTTACTGCTGATGACTTTGTTTAGTTTTTGTTTTCAAAAAATATTTTTCTTTTACCTTTATTCTTTTTCCCCCTTTATTCTGGGTATGGGATGCTGGATCGATGTTTTCCCCTCTCCAGTTTTACAAGGGTGCATTTTGCTGCTTTCTGGCCTCCATTATTTCTGGTGGGAAGTCAGTCACCCTTCCCATGTATAATGTATATAATGTGATTTCTCCAAGCTGCTTTTGGGAGATTCTCTCCATGTATTTGGTTTTTAGCAATTTGGTTGTGTTGTACTGGGACATGGTTTTTCTTCAGATCTGTTTTGTTCAGGGATGGTCAATTCTCTTCAGCTTCATTTATGCCTTCTATCAAATGTGAGAAATTTGAATGTCTTCAGAACTTTCTCCAGCGCCACCTGTTCTTGCCACATCTTTTGGAATTCCAGTTACATGTATCTTAGATCTTTTGGTGGTGTCCCACAGACCATGAGACTGTGTTTGTTTGTTTGTTTTTCCAGTGTTCTTTCTCTGTTTTTTCAGATGTAGACCATTTCTGTTCATCTCTATTCAAGTTTGCTGACTTTTTTGTCATCTCAAATATGTGGTTAAGCCTATCCAATTATTTATTTTAGATTGTTTTTGATATTATAACTTTTAATTGTTAAATTTCTATTTATAGTTTTTTAAAATAGTTTCTGTATCTATAAAATTTCCTGTGTTCATTAACTTTGAACTTGACAATAGTTATAAAAACAGGTTTGAAATCATTGCTTATTCCAACTCATCTCAGAGTCTGCATTGATTATCTTTTCTCTTAAGTATGGGTAACATTTTTGTATTTTATCTTACATGTAATAACTTTGTATTGTATCCTAGTGTTAATAGTTCCTTGTAGGAGCTCTGAATCCTATTGTATTACTCAAAGGTTCTATTTATTTGTTTGTTTTAGGAGGTAGTTAAATTGGTTGGACACAGACTCTGAACTCAGTCTCCTTTGGCAATGGGCAGCATCCAAAATCTCTGTTCAGTACTGTCGGCCTTCACAGAGGGGCTGCTTGAGTTCTGTCTTGAATGTGCATTTCATGAGTCAGCCACAGATTTGGACAGAGTTTATATGAAGAATTTACAGCTTTCTCTCTCTCTGATCTTTTCCTTTCTGAGAGCTTCCCCTCCAAACCATCCCTTTTTTAGTGAGATGCATTTGCCCCAGCTCTGCCTTCTAATTTTTCCACCAGAAAGAGTACAGGTTTTCATTCTAATTTTCAGTTGCCTTAAGGTTGTACCTTCAAAGAGCCATAAGGGGGTGGGTGATACATACTAGCCAACCATTTTAAATTGTACAGGAACTTTATGGGTACCTGGTATTTAGAGCCTTTTCATTCTCCTAAGTATTTCCCCCAGTTTATTCTTGTTTGAACTCCAGTGCCTTAAGATTGTTGTTTTTATGTTTTTTCCACAGTTTATAGTTACTATCAATAGGAGAAGTGGTTTGATATTACTGGAAGCAGGACTGTGTTCAGCTTTTAAAAATGTGTATTACTAATGTTGATTGTTGGCAGTGGATACAACGGAGAGAGTTAGCAATAAATATTCAAATCAGTTTAAAGTTAAATTTCTTTTTTGGCGTTTTATCCTGTTCTTTCTGCCCTCAAAAGAGTCTATAGGGAGGGTGATTGGTGGGATCACCTCTGTGGTTTATCTTACAAGGGTATACAAGTGATTCTTCTTAAAAGTAGAATATAAATGTCTTAATACAATAACTAAGAAAATGGCATGAAGGCTATGTTAACCAGTTTGAAAATATTTCAGATTATATATGAAAACACCACACTGTACCCCATGATTGCATTAACATACACAGCTATGATTTAATAAAAATAAAATAAAATTATAAAAAAGAGTCTATGTAGTCTGTAAATGTGTTTATAGATATAAATATAAGAGAGAGGGAACAAATCCTACTTGGGATTCCAGTTATTAATCAGGTTGACCAGAGCTTCATCAAGTTACTCAACTCTAGGTATTCTTACGTGATTGTGGTTAAAGGTGTCAGTGGTACTGAAGCTCAGATAGGTCACTGGGTTAGCAGGCCTCTGAACGCCACTGTTATCCTTATCTAGTGATGAGAATTAATCTTGAATTTTTTAGATACACGTAATTGTTTAATTATTTTAGTATATATACTTTTTTTCTTAATTTCAGATGAATATGAGGGTATAGATGGTTAAGTTACAATGTTTGTGTTAGGTAAGGTCACTGCTGTAGTCCTGTCCCTAACCCAGGAGGTGTGCCATATACCCTTACATTGTGCCCGTGCGGTGGGACACACCAGTTCCTCCTCCCCTCTTCCCCTTCCTTTCCCCTTCCTTCCTCCTCTTCCCTCTCCCCCTGCCTTATGGCTTCCTCCTTCCTCCAGGCCCTCCTCACAACTTAAGTATATATAGTTTTTTGTGTTAACTATGTTTGAGTTATCAGTCAAGTAGTTGGGTTGAGACATACAGTAGTCTGATCATGTTGGTTTAACTTTTAGTTATTTTTAATCAGGGAGGAGTTAATCTTTGTTCTCAAGAAAGAGCTAGTCTAAGGTGGATTCTAACGGGTTCATGGCTAGTCACAATAAAAAAAGTATTCTTACTGCATTGCTGAGAACTGATGTTCATGAAAGGAATAGACAGTCTATTGACACATCCTTAGTGTTGAACTTCTGTATATTCTTGATAGCTTAACAGAAGTTTCCCCTATGGTAAGTTAGTCTATAAGAATAGGCAAATGAGAATTTTCTTATTGTCAAAAGTTGCTTTCTTAGGCTGGGTTGGTGCTCACACCTCTAATCCCACCACTCTGGGAGGCTGGGGTGGGCTGATGGCGTGAGCTCATGAGATTGAGACCAGCCTGAGCTAGAGCAAGACCTCACTTTTAGAAATAGCTGGGTTTTCTGGTGGGTGCCTGTAGTGCTAACTACTCAGGAGGCTGAAGCAAGAGAATTGTTTGAGCTGAGGAGTCTGAGGTTACTGTGCGTTGTGATGTCACAGCACTCCACCGAGGGTGACAGAGTGAGACTCTGTCTCCAAAAAAAAAAAAAATTAGGCATGAGAATAAGGAAATGTTCTTGCCTAAAAGAAATGGGAGGATCTGGGTAGCGCCTGTGGCTCAGTGGGTAGGGCGCTGGCCCCATATATCGAGGGTGGCGGGTAACCTGGCCCTGGCTAAACTGTAACAAAAAATAGCTGGGCATTGTGGTGGGCACCTGTAGTCCCAGCTACTTGAGAGGCTGAGGCAAGAGAATCGCCTAAGCCCAAGAGTGGGTTGCTGTGAACTGTGATGCCACAACACTCTACCAAGGGCAATAAAGACTGTATCTCTAGGCTAGGCATCTGTGGCTCAAGTGGCTAAGGTGCCAGCCACATACACCTAAGGTGGCGGGTTCAAATCCAGCCCGGGCCCGCCAAATAACAATAACGGCTGCAACCAAAAAAAAAATAGCTGGGCATTGTGGCGGGTGCCTGTAGTCCCAGCTACTTGGGAGGCTGAGGCAGGAGACTCGCTTGAGCCCAGGAGTTGGAGGTTGCTGTGAGCTGTGATGCCACGGTACTCTACCCAGGGGGACAGCTTGAGGCTTTGTCTCAAAAAAAAGGAAAGAAATGGGAGGATCCAAAGAAAACAGCAGACGGTGAAATTAGCCCTCTTCTACATTCCCTTTTTTGTTTATATTAATTTCTTCTAAAATTCTTTTTTCCTGCTTGGCGCCTATAGCTCAGCAGCTAAGGCACCAGCCACATAACACCAGAGCTGGCAGGTTTGAACCCAGACCAGGCCTGCCAAATAATAATGACAACTACAGCCAAAAATTAACTGGGCCTTGTGGCGGGCACCTGTAGTCCCAGCTACTTGGGAAGCTGAGGCAAGAGAATCGCGTAAGCCCAGGAGTTGGAGGTTGCTTTGAGCTGTGATGCCACAGCACTCTACCAAGGGTGACATAGTGAGACTCTGTCTCCAAAAAAATAAATAAATAAAATTTCTTTTTCCTTTTTTACACTCCGATCTTACTATCCCAGGGTTCTTTTTGAAAGGAGTCTCTTGAGTGCTTCTGTTTTCTATAGAAATCTGTGACCTTTCTTTTGAGTCTTATCCCTTTGGCGGGGTTGACGGTACAGTACATTGACTTAGTTTAACAACACCTGTTGCTTCCCTTAGTGCTTTTTATTTCAAGGTGGGGCTTAATTTTTAAGTTTACGTGGATTATGTTTAGTATTTGAGAACTTTCATGGCAACTTTGACTATCTTGAATATCTTGATTTAATAACCATGTCTGCACTAGAAAACCCAAATGATGCCAGTGCGATGTTAGCAACCCCAGTTAAAGCCATTGTAGATTTAGTTGGCCAGCACGTAAGGTGTTTGAAAACTTACTATTGCATGTGCAGTGTAGTAACATGAAGTATTTCTCCCCCCTAATTTTTAGGAGGCCCTCTTCATTGCCCGCTTCAGTCCTCCAAGCTGTGGTGTGCAGGTGAACAAGCTGTGGTACAAGCCTGTGGAGCAGTTCATCTTACCAGAGGTACAGGGTTTGGAAGGAGACTGCAGGGCCAGTGCAGTCGTTTATAGGGGTGGATGTGTGCTCTCTGGGGCAGGTACTTGATATTTTATTGTACCGGGGCACCTCTCCAAAGTGGTAGATGAGGATACCAACTGTGGATGTACTAAAACGCAGCACTCCGCATTTATACCTCCAAAGAGCTTCGTGATGTCTCAGAATTCTGAAACTCTTGAAAAACACTGCATGTTACCATAGTTTATTTAATGGAGTAGAGAACTGCACAGCTGTTTTAGTGAAAAAGGATAGTATTAGGTACGGATTGACCGAAAGACAAGACACAGATACCATTTGGTTAAGTCAGTTTATTTATCTAAAGAATGAAAAGAGGAGGGAGGCACTGCAGATAGGATAATGGCAAAGTGACGGACCACCTTTCTTCTTTTTTAGACAGTCTCACTTTGTTGCCCTCAGTAGAGTGCCGTAGCATCACAGCACACAGCAACCTCCAACTCTTGGGCTTAAGCTATTCTCTTGCCTTAGCCTCCCCAGTAGCTGGGACCACAGGCACCTGCCACAATGCCTGGCTATTTTTTTCTGTTGTTGTTGCAGTTGTCATTGTTGTTTTAGCTGGCCTGGGCCAGGTTCGAACCTGCCAGCTTCAGTGTATGTGGCCGGTGCCCTACTCACTGAGCTACAGGTGCCACCAACGGACCACATTTCTAAGTTAAATCAAACTTCTCCAAAGGGTGAACATTTGTATATGATGGCTGAAAACACATCACTTTCCGGGTCCCTGTAGGTCCAGTTTTAAATAGATTAATGCTGGAGACTTGCATGAGTCCTGGAGTTAAGCCACAGTACAGTAGTAGGGTGTGACAGACTCCTGCATGTACAAATTATTCATTCATCAAGCTCAGCCTTTTCAGGCTATTTTAGTCTAACCTGAGTACATTCCTGAACTCAGTGCTCTAGAACCATAATAGGGGTCAGTTTCCTGGACATTTCTGGATTCACTTTAGGTAAGTTATAGAGTTCATACTGTAGCATCAAAGTTTGTTATTATGTGGAGCCTAGAAAATTGACCAGCTTACTGACTAACCAAGAAATTTTTTCCTATGACCAGGGTCTTCAATGCTGTTCACATTTGTGCAACAGTGGGAACCACATATTTTTATAATACACTATGGATCTTTGGAGTTGGATACAAGTAGTTGAAACTATATGTATATGTTAATTCCATGCATTCAGAGGGATCTCCATTTCATCTATATAGGAACTTCTGTTTCAAAAGCTTTTAAATACACCCAAACAAAAACACACTGGGGAAAAAATAGAAATTGCCAATAAACTAAAGGAAAATAACTAAGACCACCAAAGTCTCACAATTTGGAGATAATCACACTTAATGTTTTGGCCTCTATGATTATATATTCATCTAGTTTTATAATTTACTTTGTTCTACATGTCATGAATATCTTTTTTACTTTTTTTTTTTTTTTTTTTTGAGACAGTTTGTTGCCCTTGGTAGAGTGCAGTGGTGTCACAGCTTACAGCAACTTCAAACTCTTGGGCTTAAGTGATTCTCTTGTCTCAGTCTCCCAAGTAGCTGGGACTACAGATGCCCACCACAATGGCTATTATTTTTGTTGTTGCAGTTATCATTGTTGTTTCACTGGCCCAGACTGGGTTTGAACCTGCCAGCCTCAGTGTATGTGGCCATCGCCCTGCCCACTAAGCTACAGGTGCCGCCTTTTTATTCTCTTTATGTATAAACTTCTTTTTTTTTTTTAAGTGCAGTATGTACCATTAAAATTATCTTTTACTTTTAATTAATAGCAGTAGTTCAAATAAGTAGTACTGGCCAAGTGTTGGATCTTAGTTTTTGCTGGAAGTCATTTTTGGTTTGTTCATTGATTTACTTAGAAAATGTTTATTGAGAACTTAACTGCATGCCATGCACTGGGGTCATCTCAGGATACAATATGAAAATCCCTGCCCTTAAAGCAGCCAGTACTAGTGGGGAGAAAAGCGTTAACCCTGATAGTCAACTTGCTGTGTGGGGGGCACTGGTGTGACCAGTTTTCCTATCTGAACTAATTGGTAAGCTCCTTTAGGATTGAAGCAAGTCAGTGATTAGAGTCCTTCCTTTCTACTCAGGAGAAACATGGGCAGAACCTAACTCAGACTTTCTGTGATTCCCGTAGGAGAGTAATGTTATTCCAAGAAGACCAGAAGTACCAGCAGTGTGTTAGGTGCTGCTGTCCAGAAAGAGCTGAGTCCTGATGTAGGGTTCATTTTCACAAACGACTTAAAAGGATTAGTGGAAGTGGGATACCTGGGGTTAAATAGGCAGGTGAGCGGGTGTTTGGTTGCAGGTGCCTGAGTGGGCCCATCAGATGCGGCTTGGATGAGTTTGAATAACCTGCTCTGCCCCTTAATGGCCCTGTGACCTAGTGGAACTTAACCTCACCATGTCCGTGTCCTCAGTGAGATGGAGGAGCTACACCACTCAGTTCAAAGGGTTATTCTTCACCAAGGACATTGGCCACCCCAGGGGACACTAAAGTTGTTAAAAGCGGATACCGGGTATGGGATGATAGTGGCATCTAGTAGATAGACGCCCAGGGATAGTGATAAACACCCTGCAGTGCACAGAGCAGCCCTGGAAGGTGGAGGGTTTTCTTCATCTCGATCCCTCAACACGTAATGGTCACCAGAGTTACAGGTCAGCAGAGTAGCTGGTCAGGTCAGCAGATCTTTGTAGTGTTCTCATTGTGCGCCTCACTGAAGCATAAATCTCAGGAGGAACCACGAGTTTACATGAAGGTTGCTGTGTGTTTCTCACAAAATATTTATTCCTGTAATTTCATATTTTCCTTAACAGTTGAAAATATAGTAAACAGCAGACTATTTTTGTTCACCTGAGTCACTAGAGACATTATTGTCAGCATTATGGATTCTTACACACTTTTTTTTTTTTTTTTTGGCCAGGGCTGGGTTTGAACCTGCCACCTCCATGCAGCATATGGGCTGATGTCCTACTCCTTTGAGCCACAGGCGCCGCCCTACACTTAGCTTTTAATGAAAGTTGAAATTTCTTTAGATGTAGTCATTTCTCTAATAAGTTATTAATGCTTATAGGCACAAAAGTACTGTGTATATTCAAGCTACTCTGTGGTTTGGATGAGAAATCAGAAGTAACACAAAATAATTAACCTGTGAAAGGGGCTGCAGGCAGCCAGCTTGTGTTACAGGAGAGAGAATTTATGATATCTCATTTCTCCAACCTATACCGTGCTGTTTTTTCCTAACTTTTGTCTTGGTTTTATGATCTTAGCTGGGAATTACAATCAGCAAGTTGTTTTGCATATTAAGGGATTCCTGGCTTTGTAATTATCTTATGTAAGAATAAAAAGGCATACGAGAGAAGAGGCGAGAAATAGAAACTGAGCTGTGTTGTGGAGCAGAAATAGATGTAGGAAAGGGGAGAAAATACGACGCTTTCCTTAATAACAACACAGGGCTGGGCACAGTGGTTCATGTCTGTAATCCCAGCTACTTGGGAAGCCAAGGCTGGAGGTTTTGCTTTAGGCTAGGAGTTTTTTTGGTTTTGGGGGGTTCTTTTGGGACAGAGTCTCAAGCTGTCACCCTGGGTAGAGTGCTATGGCGTCATAGCTCACAGCAACCTCCAGCTCCTGGGCTTAGGCGATTCTCCTGCCTCAGCCTCCTGAGCAGCTGGGACTACACGTGCCTACCACAACACCCAGCTGTTTTTTGTTGCAGTTTGGCTGGGGCCGGGTTTGATCCTGCCAATCTAGGTATATGGGGCCGGCGCCCTACTCACTGAGCCACAAGTGCTGCCCAGCGATCCTCTTGCCTCTGCCTCCCAAGTAGCTAGGAATGCAGGTGCCTGCCACAACACATGGCTATTTTTTTAGGTTATAGTTGCCATTGTTGTTTGGTGAGCTCAGGCTGGATTTGAACCCACCAGATCCAGTGTATGATTCTGGTGCCTTAACTGCTTGAGCTACAGGTGCTGAGCCTAGGCCTAGTTTGAGACCAGTGTGGACAACATAGCAAGACCCCATCTCTACAAAAAATTTACATGATTAGGCAGCATGGTGGCACACCCCTGTAGTCTCAGCTACTTGGAAGCTGATGCAGTAGGAACCCGTGAGCCCAGAAGTTCAAGGCTGCATTGAGCTGTGACCACATCTACATACTGAATGACAGAAGAACATCCTGTCTTGAAAAGTAAACCTAAGAAAATGGTATTAAAACAGGTTGATGTAATGGAGAGAAATTGGTAGTTGGGGCCGTCTGTAAGATCTCTGGAGAGAGCCTCTCTGAGGAGATAACAATGGATCTGAGACCTGAATGGTACTAAGGAGCCAGCTGTGCATAGAATTACAACTAGAGAACAGGGAGAAATTCGAAGACATTAGCATTTCAGTGTACACCAAACCTCGAAGCAAGGGAGCATAGCTTTCTAAGCTTAGAATTTAATAATTCATAGACTTTTGAATTTCTAAAACAATAATACACTAGTAGGTGACAGACAATTCTGAAAAAATATTTTAGCATATAAAATATGCACAGGGTTGTTACACTGTAAAAAGCTCACATAGATGAATAAGAAAAATTTGGGAGCGAAATGGCAAGGGAGCATGACAAGGACGTTCTCAGGAGAGAATGTTCCATTCAGAGGCTTCACTAGAAATCAGAGAAATTCAACCAAGTGAGGAATAATTTTTTTCATTTACCAAATTAGCTTAGACTTCTTTTCCTTACTAAGATTTCATACCAGGGAGAGTGGTAATGGAACAGATATTGTCATAAATTGCTAATGACCGTAAAGTTAGTGAAAAATGCTTTTGAAATTAGTTTGATAATGTGTACCAACATCTACACAGAATATCTTTCTTGTCCTAGTAATTTCACCTCTGGGAATTTATTGTAAGTAGAAACAAAATATTGGGGGAAAATAAACATTTACACTAAACGTGTGTACGTTCTTTTAGTAGGTGTTTGTTAGCAGCCCGTAGGGAAATGCTTGAGTGAGTCAGGATGCATCTACTCAATGGCATGTTACACACACATGAAGAAGAAGAATGCTTAGCCACAGCAACAAGAGGAAAAGCTTTTGAAACAAAGCAGCATGCAAAATTATCTGTATGCTTTTGTAATTGTTTTTATATGTACTTGGAAAATATGGTTAAGAATATATACTAAAATGTAAACAGCAGTGGATCAGTCATGGGATAAAAATTTTAACTAAAAGATCTTGAAAAAAATTAACTCTTCTCTGAAATCTTACCTAAATTAACTCTTCTCTGAAATCTTACCTGAAAACTTACTTAAAACCTAAATGATGGGCTTGGCGCCTGTGGCTCAAGCGGCTAAGGCGCCAGCCACATACACCTAAGGTGGCGGGTTCGAATCCCCAGCCCGACCCGCCAAACAACAATCATGGCTGCAACCAAAAAATGGCCAGGCGTTGCGGCGGGCGCCTGTGGTCCCAGCTACTTGGGAGGCGGAGGCAGGAGACTCACTTGAGCCCAGGAGTTGGAGGTTGCTATGAGCTGTGATGCCATAGCACCCTACCCAGGGGGATAGCTTGAGGCTCCGTCTCAAAAAGAAAAAAAAAAACCTAAATGATGATGGCAAAGAAATTGATTCACTATTTATCTTTCCACAAAAGAGTTTTGAAGGTACAATTGTATGGGAAAGCCAGGACCTCCACGGCCTTGTGTCAAGAAATCTTCACAAAGTGACAGTGAATGATGGCGGGGGCGTTCTCAGAGTCATTACCGTAAGTCATTTTTTTCTATGTTGTTTAGTAACATAAAGTAGCTTTTTTTAATGCATAAAGTTTTCTAAAATTTGCCTTTACACCAGTCTATATGGTATGGAAGAGATAATTCTTGTGTTTTAGGACATGTGTGATAGACTGTGCTGTTGAGTCACCACAGTAAAGACAAAAAACCTCAAAGGTTCTGTACGATTCTGCAAGTCCAGTGTTAGTGAATATTCAGTTTCGCCCTAAGATTGGTACATTTTTGTGTGATGTTTTATTTCTGAATAATTTTGTTAGCATTCTTTAAGAATGCTTGCTCAGTGGTATTTAGAATATTCAGTATCTCACCTTCATAGTAAAATACTATAGATAAAAATATCGGAAAATAAGATTGAGTACCTCTATTTATATTGCTGAAGCAACTCTGGGGTTTGACTTGTATTTCTCATTCATTCAAATTTGCTCCAAATTTACTATAGCTTGACAGTTTCTCACAGTATATGTAGAATATTAAAAAGTGTAGGAAGACTTGAAATGATGAACTTGAGTAAAAAAATGTTGTGTGGCAGTGTCTTAGTCTTTTATTCTCCTTGATGCTCACTCTAATATTAGGAATGCACTTGGCATTTACATTTAGAAGCTTAGTGATGTTTTAAAATATTAACCTTATTCTCATTAGTTAATTTCTGAATTTGAAATGAATATCACGTGATATATTATTACTCATTCAGAAAGAAGTTGCTGCACAGTGTTCGTAAGGCAGGCATGCTAGCAGCCAAAATAGGCCCGTCCCTGGTCCATAGCGGAGCTCACAGTCCAGTGAGAAAGGAAGGAAGACATTAAACAAATTCATGTGTATTTACATATTTAGATTTGTAGGCCATGTTTAGGATCTAGGGTTTTATCCTTCACTATGAAATTATTTTTGTTTAGGATACAATATTTTGTGGAATTTAATTATAATTTTCTTACTTTTAAGACAGGTGCATTTAATATCTTGCCTCCTTTTTATTTATGAAACTTTTAAAAAGCCAGAACATGCCTAAACTTCTATAGTATATGAGTTGGTTACACTAAAGAAAATAAGTTTGCTTTTGAGTTGAAGTTCAAGTTTAAAGACTCAAATGATCTACTTTGGGAGTGAAAAATAGTTGTAGACAGCTAAAGACAGCTTAAACATTCAGCTAACTTTAAAAAAGTCAGGTAGTTTAATAGTCTACTCTTAAGAAACCCCATGTGCAGATGAAGCTTTGTACCATAAATGCACAGAGCTGAGCATTTTCATTAAGTCTTACTCTTTTGCCAGTAAATGATGATATCAGAACATTTTTGAAGCAGAATTAAAAGCCAAATTATGACCTTATAGAGAGAACTTAATAAACAAAAAGTACTATTGAGTTCTGAACATGCCAAAACAATATAGAAGTATGCAATAAAAAAATAAGGAGCATACACTTTAATGGAACTATAAAGTTGGAATCTATACTATTCACCTTTAGTAATTTTCTCAACATTTGGCTACAGACATTTGAAATTGGCCAGGTGCAGTGGCTCATGCCTGTGATCTTAGCGCTTTGGGAGACTGAGGCAGAAAGATCACTTGAGGCCAGGAGTTTGAGACCAGCCTAAGCAAGAATGAGATGCCGTCTTTATAAAAAAAATAGAAGATTAGCCAGATGTAGTGGCACAGGCCTATAGTCCTACCTATTTTGGAGGCTGAAGCAGAAGGATCCCTTGAGTCCAGGAGTTGGAGGTTATATGATGACATGGCATTCTAGCCCACATAACAGAACAAGACCTTGTCTCAAAAAAAAAAAAAAAATCAAATGATTATTTACCACAGTTACCTCAGAATACACCATCAGCATTAAAACATCCCTTTGCATAGAGTACAACTCTGCTGAAAGATTGCCAGAGAGTGAGTAAGCTGCTTATTAATGAGTATGTAGAAGAAATCCTGTAAACCTGCTGAACTGTAATTCTGACCATCTGATCCAGCCCAGAGCAACTGGAGCCGTAGCTCTGGTGGACGTGCCATAGCAGGGGCAGCACACAGAAGTAAAGTGCTCAACTGGAAGAAAAATCCTCCTCAAGAAGCTGCCAGCTCCAAGGGAGAACTAACGCTTCCCTGGTGAACATGGGGGTCACTGCATTCCCATGGCTGCCTGCTCTGGGAGGGCTGCCTCTTCCCTCTCTCCAGGCAGCCCTACCTTCCTTGCCATGTCAGGGGCTGCCGCCAGGATGGCCATGTGTGTGGTGGGCAGAGCAGGAGCTTCTAAAGCAGCTCAGCCCATGGGCAGGCAGGCAGGTCTTTGGGACCTGCAGGAGGCTTCCAGTCCCCTCCACATCACTGACCTTGGCCCTCATCCCTGACGGCCACAGCCCACCTCATCAGGCCTACTACACCCCCTTTGCTGATCATGGCACTTGGTGAGGCGACTTAGGTCCACACCCACTGGATCTCAGATCCTTCCAGATTGGAATTTCATGTGCCTGGCAGGAGGATGCCGCAGCCTATGAGGCCCACTGGACTATGCGACTCGGGAGCTGTTACCACCTGTGTATAATCCTCATCCTTATTTTTCCCTCACAGATTTGGGGGGGAGGGTGTATTACACATGACTATCCTTTACAGTGATAATAAAGGATCCTCTCATCCTAAGAGGTGGAAAGGACTGTTGTTGGCTGTTGGCACACTAGTCTCTAGGCACCTTCAACAGCATCAGAATCAACAGGGATCTATCTGAACTATCTGGGCTGGTGAGTTAGGGGATCTTTTCTCTGCCTGCTC